TGTGTGTGTGTATGTGTGTGTGTATCATATATATACGCTAAAAGGTAAATCAATCTTTAAGATTCTAGTTATCAGAAAAATCCAATCATGTTAAGCAAAAGCACCCAAAATCCTGTGATTTCTGCTTCAATAAAAAGCTCCTTAGAAAATAAATGGCATTAAGGAAGATTTCCAATAACCTTGCAACGATTGTCGTTCGTAAAATATTTGAGATAGCAGGCCTACTTGTTTTATGATTAAACTTTGGCTTGTCACAAAGTAGGCAAAGTATTCTCCTCTGCGTGTTCCTGACCTTGTCAGAGCATGTACATGTTCAAGTTGAGATAAAAGACAACACTAGTAACTCCTGTTTTTGGTACACAAGCTTATAATCGGCCTCCAAGATTTATTCAAATTGGATACCGTTTTTTATTTTATTTTTAAAAAAATAGTTTCTCAGTTTCCCTTGCCATGATTATTATGGCCACAACGATTTGAAAGAAGGCGCAACGTTCATGTAAAGAGGTTTTATTGTATTCTCAGAGGCTCAAAACTATTTGCAGGTTTACAACATTCTCGTTGGTTTAAAAACTACTAACAAATTTACTGTACCCTCAATAATTTAAAAACTACCTACAGTGTCTCTGTATTGTCACTAGTTAAAAACTACTCACAAGGTTACTGAACTCTTAGAGAGTAATAATAACTTACAGGGATCCACGAAGTAAGCTGTGATTGTGTAGCGGTCCCCATCCTTCACAAAGATCTTGTCGCTCCTGTGTTTGGGGAACCCATCGGTCTGATTGCCAGGAATCTGGGGAGGGGGGGGTGGATAGAGTTACAACACCATGAGAAGAAACGGATATATATTATATATAAATATATACATGCGCGCTCGTAAGTAATCGCGCAAACATACAAGCACATAATATTATACAGACATACCAGGTACACATAAACAAACACATATTAACATACACATACTTGCATTCACACGCATGCACACATACACATATATAGATCAACACAAGTTCCTAAATTGTATGTTATGTCTTTTAACATTTCAAGACTGATTCCCTCGTGTGCTTCTTCCTCTTTCTAAAACAAAAGCAACTTACAGTTTCTGATCATGCCAGTCTCTGGAGTGCAGTGGCAGTGCCGAATAGGTCGGAGGTACCTAGTGACCGTATAGCAAATCGTGACTTCTCAAACAAAGCGTCAAAGTTTATGTATCACTCGCATCAAAGCGTACAAAAAAACCCCATTGTCTAATACAACGTGTGCGCTCTGCACCAGTTCACGGACAAGCCACCAAGAAAGCACCACCTAAAGTTGACATTGGCCTACATTAATTGTATCGGACGAGACAACTGGGCCATGAGACACATTGTGGGCTTCACTGTCTGTTTCTGCACTGCGCAAGGTGGCGAAACCAATCAAATTTCCTCTCAAGTACTAGCCTACTAAAATTGGTACAAGTGTCAGTTCTCACGGAAAGCCGAGCTTTGCTGTACTGAGTTGCGTAATCTCTGGACGGAACAGAACAAGGGAGGGAACACTGTAATTATTAGATCAAGTTTGGGTAGAGCTCGAGCCGCTTTGAAAAACGCACTTGTTACCTAACAGGGCTGAGCAACGAGAAAGGTTTTGCTATGATGATCCAGAATAAAGAGATGTTGAAGTTACAAATGATCTGGTCTATTCAAATGTTGGTGTCCACATGTTGATTTTGCCAGCCTGTTCACTGAACACTTTGCGCAATCCCACACGCCACCACTGCTTGTGTGAGTTTTGCTTGTGTATAACCCATGAATCACACTGTACCTATAATAATAATATATTTGCAGACAAGGATGTAACCTCCGCCATTGCAGGTTATTGATTACTGCCTCAAAAAAGACATACGACTGCTATTACAGAAAATTCCTTGAGTTCAGTTCAACAAAGCATAATTTAGGATTCTTGGTGGCTTTGATGTGGAATGATGAAGGGGTGTAGGAGTGGGGGAGGGCGGGGTTAATAGGTGTGTTTGGTTTAAGAATGAAATGATATTTCGTCAACAAGGTTGTAGTTCCAACCCCTCTCCAAAACACCCTCCACACCTTCTCCATCTTCTTCTCACCCCTCTTCAATCTGAATTTTGTTTTCACTCTCAAAATCACTAGCTGTCATAATCAACTCTTTTGTTTGAGTGGTATGTTGTCCATGTCTTACACTCTCTTCTTTACCAAAGATGTAAGAATCCAGGCCACAACCTCAACTGGAAAGACTCCTGTGCTGTCACCTGGAAATGACCTACAATGTCAAAGGCGAGAAAGAAATTCTAATAAACTTACAGAGGCTTGGATGCCTGCGATGTAACCTTTGACGTCATAGAGCAGCACCACTGCATAGTCGTTTCCCTTGACGTACCGATTACCTCTGAACGTGCCAGTTGCTGGGAAAGACAAAGTTTGTATCTATCTATCTATCTATCAATCAATCTATCTATCTATCTATCTATCTATCTATCTATCTATCTATCTATCTATCTATC